GAAGGGGGGGGGGGACGACCCCCAAGGGCCGGGGGGTTGGGTTCCTCTTTTTTAAATCAAAAAAAAAAAAAAAAAAAAAAAAAAAAAGTTGGTCGCTCACAGAAAGTCATCCAGCTCTCCTCCCTGAGAGACAGAAAATACCTCCAAGGCGCTGAGACTCAGATCAGCAGCTACGGCGTTTTGTCGTAGAGAAGCAGCGGCTGTCTGGCTGCGGCGACGGACCACAGAGGACGTGGGAAATAGCAGCTGCGCAACAAGCTGCTCACAGGTGACGGACGAGGTGGTCATCGGTCCGATTCATGGCAACAATCGAGTCCTCCTGCGCGGATCTGTGAATGGATAGCACCATGTGGGAACTGGGAGCGATTTACAGTAACAGCTGAGTGGGAATCATGGAGTGGGAGTGGCACATAAAACTATTTTAAAGGGAACACGGGCAGCTCGCGCTAGAATGACGCATGATGTTTTTTTTTCTTTCTCCCTCCAAAAGGCACATAGATATTCTTCCTAGGCTTCCACGCTCTTTGACGTTATTTTACTTTTTCCTGCAAATTTCAGGCACCATTTTTATTGTATCTGATACTCAAACACACACAGTCACAGTCTGATATTTATGTTTGCTTCTAATTTGTACTGTACAGAAGTTTCAACAACTTCCAATTTCTTTACGCTTTGCCTCTTGCAATTGTTTAAAATGGTTTTCAGCGATTTACTGGGTCTTTTAAGCTCATCATATGTGCATCTAGATGACCACAACACTGTGTACTATCTGGGTTAAAGTTAACCCAGTAGTCTGGTCTGGGCAACTGACTAATGTATGGAATGCATTCATAAAATATTTTGAAAAACATTTTTATTCCTTTTCCCAACCATTCACTGCCTTGTGTTTGCTACATACAATCTTACTTATATCCTGCACTGTGTGATTGTAATGTGACAAAACAAATTACATGATTGGATTGAAAGAAAAAACCCTGGATTTTTTTTCCCCCAGAACCTCTATTTGTCCCACTTTTTAACCACAAATGCATAAATATCAAATTCAACATTCATCCTTCTAATTTGTCTCTTTTTTTTCATATCTTTGATACGCCAGTCTCAATCTTGTGAAAATAAGTACAAAACAAGAGCCTACATCAAATTAAAAAAATCAGAAATAAGCATGGCTTACGGCAATTTATTAAAATGAGAGAAGACATTCTGGTTGCTTAGAAGAACAGATGTAAACAAATGAGATATGTTGCGTTCTTTTTCACACAAATTATATCTCGGGTTCTGTTTCTGTTTAACTTTGTCAAGTTAACTCCAGCAACAGAAGACAGAACTGCGAAAAATATTTGATGAACAGAGTCACACAGGAGTAAGACACATTTAGGAGACAAATGTAACCTCTCTGGAAAAAAATTGCCAGATCATGTTCTTTTTTTTTTTTTTAATACAAACCGTTGGTACTCTAACCACATGGTTCTTTTCTTCCAAGCCGGGGGGCCCCCAGTGGGAAAACTGCTCTCCAGTAAGCATCTGTGGCCCACTCCATGGTAACGGCTCAGTCTCCACGTCAGACTGCAGATCAGGTCCTACAGCAGTCAAGCTGACAGAAACCGTCGAGGTGTCCAGGCTCTGCTCCGCTCCAGAGGACGGAGACCGACGGGGCAGAGAAACGGTGAGGGGATATTTTACATGCAGACAGAACAGGCTGATTCCATTCTGTCTGCTTTTTGCTTCAGGCACAAAGTGCTCCACCGTTAACTCCATGTGACATTATCCCTCCAAAGCCAGTGCCATTTTATTGTAAATCTCAAAGGGTTTCCTTTACCTTTAGACTTGTCGGTCAGATGTTGAAGGAATTACATTAAAGCAAATGGATTTAGAGGTAAAATACTGAGGTTTTGAGAACAAGATCCAAGATGTATTGAAGACTTATTTGGATTCCAGAAGGGCTGAGAAACAATATGCAGGTGGACAAAAATACATGTACAAAAACAAAAACAAAGAGAACTCGCATTTGATCAGGTTGTTCACACAGATTAAAACTTGTTTGGGTATAATCTGTCAAGACTATTTTTATAACTCCAAGACCAACCCCTCAATTAGATTGCTGTGATCAGAGAGGAAAAGCGAAACATTTCATTAGTGTTGCCGATGTTTGAAACAAACAGGAAGGGGTGCAGACAGACTAGTCATCCAGCTACACATTAGCACTAGAGTATTATTTTTACCTTTCATATTTCATCATAAAATAAGAAAGCTAAAATCATATCAGAAAATTTTACCCGTTTCTAGACACTGACAAGCATGCAAACAATGTTTTGTTGGTAAACCTACAAGACAAAATAAGCTAGTTACACGGGTTGTAAAATATAAAAATGTTCAAGGTATATGAACTAATATGGATACTGTGTGAGCTTTTTATGAGTGTCCAAAATCTCTGAAATATTTAACCTCTACTTAAGTAAGGTCCCAAGGCAAAGGAGGAGAGAGGCAAGAAGTGGTTTGAGGTATTTAGGAGACCCAAAATGCCTCAAATCACTTTTCTTTTTAACATTAATGATAAAGACAGGTAAAGGTAGAAAAAAAAGATGAGTGCAAAAACTTTATTTTTAAAGAAAGGACTGTGCAACATGCAACTTCATTTAAAATCCACCTTTGTCTCAAGTTTGGAATCGAGAGAAGCCTAAAAAATGAATGAAAGAAAAAAAGAATTCAAATGACAAACGAGCAAAGAATGACATCCTATATGTTATAAAACCAAAATATTTAAACACTCACTAGTTCTCTTTTTGCTTCTTCTATCTTCACTTGTGCAAGAGATGGGCTCTGAAGGTTTAGAATGAAAAAAAAAAGCACATTTCAAGATTAACTGATTTTTTTTTTCTTTTCAAAGGATGAAACAGGAAACGTGATCGCCCCTTTGGTTGGAAAAGTAATGAAGTCTGAAAAACTAGAAAACGAACGCACCGGGCTCAGGTCCATGTACGGCTCCAGCTTCTTTTTCAGGGGGATTATTTCGTTTTGCAGTGCGCCAACTTCCTGCAGAGAGAAAAAATAAGATGTCATGTTTCAAACCCTGAATGCAGACAAAGTAAAGCTTCTATCCCCATGGCGATGAATGTGGTGAAAATGCTGAAATACCTCAGAAAGCTGCACAATGGCCTGGTGGGTGATGGACTTGTCCATGTTCCTGGATACAAGCTGAGCCTGCAGGATTGGCAGAGTAGAATAAAGTGACTAACAGAAGACCATGGCCCTCCTAACAAACTAAACAGTGTATCTATTAAAGTTTTAAACAAGAGGCAGACGACATTGCAACTAGGTAAACAGAATTTAAACTGTTTGATCATTTAGAAAGGGGGAAAAAAAATACAGGTCTTTTTTTATGAGACTTCTTTCTAAAGCTGAGCAGCAGCTTCTTATCTTGACGTATACGCATCTGAAAATTTTTTCTGAGTCTAAATGTGGAGATGTGAATCATATTTTGTCGAGCATAAAGTTGATTCCTATCTGTGGATCAAGCAGGTTGCTGTTTAAATCACAAAATGGCCTAGAAATGATCCAACTTAGCACCTCAGCATCCCATCTATGCAGTAATCCCAAATTATAAAGAGGAATACGCTGCAACATACCTCTGACCTCTGCTGTCTGATACTGAGCTCTTGAGCCTTGGCCGTCACAAAGTCCATGTTGAGCAGCCTCTCCTCTGCTTTTGCACTCTCCACTGCTTGAGATTTGGTAGTTTTGTCGATATCCCTGAGAACGAAGACCGCCAATGTGTACATGTGTAAGCCCAACCTTCTAATCAAACTCAACTCACACACTTAACAGCTCGCTTCACGCGTTATTCTTACTCTTGTAGATTTCCCCGCAGCACCAGAGTTGAACCGAGTCTTTTTTGGAGCGCCCTTAGTTCCCTTTCGAGTTTTCTGTTTGACTTCTCGACTTCCAGAAGATCACCAGTGAGGTTGTTGATTGCTGGCATGAAGCTACAAACAAACATAAATGAAACAATCATACATTCTGATCAATGAAACACAGGAGCACAGGAAATTACCTGGCGAGTGACGTGTCTTTCACTCCCAGCACCATAGCATTGTCCACTAAAGCAGACAGGTAGTCTGCAGTCGGCTTTGACAAGCTTGCCCCAGACAGGCCGACACCTTGCAGAAGAACATCCTCAAGGTGGGCAGCTAGGTGGGGGAAAAAACAGAAAGATGGGATTAGTGAAATACAGCTTTTGGAAAACATTGAAAAACAGGCTAAAGAGTTCTTATGTGTTCTTTATTTTGAAATCCTGTGCATTTTCTAAACTCAGATTTCTATTTTCCCTCCAATTTAATTACAATTTGGACATCTGAGCAGAAAATATTCACCTTAAATGCTTCAATAGTAGTCTTTAGTGCTGTTTAGTGGACTGATATGGAGACAATTTGGAGAGCTATAAAAAATAAAAACACACCTGAATCTTAAGCCATAAAAAATAATTTACTTCGGTTTCTATTAGTTTCTACATGTGCAAAAAATGCCATTCGACAAATCTAAACACTTTAGATCAATTCAGCCATTCCAATCCAAATGTTTTATGCATCGTCTATTCTCCCTGCTGTGTGTGCCTCACCGTCAGCCTGATACTCTGATGTTTTCTGCTTGTAGTCTTCTATGAGGAGAGCAGTATCACTGCAGCGGGCTTCACTGGACTGAGCCATCTGATACAGTATGTCCACTGTCCTGGTGTTCACCTCAAACGGTGGCACTGGCTGATCCCCAAACACCGCCCCCAACCAGCTGTTCACCTGTGGAAAAGACAGAAAAATAAGACAATATCAGCAATGCGGCTGGCGCATTGGCGCATTAATGTGTGTTTACTAGAGTCAAAGAGTTACCTTCCTCAGCTTTTCACACATGATCACAGAAAAAGCATGAAAAACCTAGACAGTCACTACAGAAATGTGAAATGTTTTGACGCTTCTCAATATAAAAGCCGTGTGTTTTCGCGCCCCTCAAATTAACTTCCTGGTTTTTAGCCAATGAAAAGACAGAGAAACTTTGTTTCGAAGTTTTACAATATATAAATAAATATATATTGTATATAAATATATTTTTACACGAAAATGATAAATACCTTATGCGTAAGTGTAATCAATTAGTTATGTATGTGTTTTTTAAAGTGTACAAAAAAAAAATAATTCGTGTCACTTTTATCTTTTTTTTTTTTTCCTCTAAAATTTCAAAGATTGTTGTGAAGTTAAGACAGTTCACTCCAGGAACCCGTTTCAGAAAACGGGATAAGTGAAAATCCCGAGTATCGCGGAGCCGAGTAGGTTTAGTATCTGTTTTCAGAGCTTGTATAAAAGTCCAGTATAAAAATCCAAAGGCAAAGTAGAAACAAAAATATTTTTTTCTTATTTTATTTTGTTCTTTTTAGCAATTCTTTTATCCCTTCTGTTTTTTTTTTTTGTTTTTTTTTTTTGGTTTTGTTTTTTGTTTTTTTGTTGTTTTGTTTTTTTGGGGCGGGGAGGGTTGTTTTTTTACTGTTTAGATATTTTTTTTCGTTTAATCAGTCCATATAGTATGATAAAATGTTTGCACTCAATCCACTTTTTCAGGCAGAAAAACGAAAGCGGAAGTATGCAGTAGTGAACATCTCGAGTGCTTCCGGATATTTGAACCAACCGCCTAAGTTCAAAACACACTTCGGCCGCACTGGGTTTGCAGTAATGGCAACAAAAGAAAAACCTACTAGACGTCTTCAAATAAACATAAACAAGACGTTTGAGGTATCTAGTATCGACTCTAGCGCAGTGGAAGAAAAACTCTTCGGCCGAGCAGATAAAGAAGTAGAAGACGATGACGGGCCCGTTGTTTTCATCTGCGGGAAGTGCAGGCTGCCTATAGGAGATTCAATGTCGTGGGATGGAAGTGAAGACGACCAGAACCAAATAAAACTAAAGCGTGAGTATGGCCTGTTCCTGTGTGAATCCTTCCCCCATTATGTCTATCCATTGGTATGTGGTTTTGTGCATCAACCAACTATCCGTCCATCCCATCCATTCATCTATTAATCCATCCATTCATCTATTAATCCATCCATTCATCTATTAATCCATCCATTATCTCCTTCCTTACAGTCTTTGCAGGTTCTAGGATTTAAGCCTAGAACAGGCAGATATATCTGTCATAATTCAATAGTGAGCTTGCATTTATACTTTATTTTTTTTTTTTTTAATGAACTGTAAATTTAAACATTTATAGTTCAGGTTTTAAATAGACTTTAAACCCTGAACTGACTGATCTGGCCGCTGACAGGCTTGTGTCTTGGCTTTGCAATAGTACTATGTTACTTTATTCTCAAATTCAGACCAGCAAACTGCTGTCTGATTGAAACCCCCAACACAATATATAATATATATGCTGAAAAGTATAAGGTGCCACTCTAATAGTTTGCTATTTTGTGAGAATGTGATGCACCATGCTGACCTGTTTATTGTTACCATTACAGGGGTCACCAACAATGTTATCATTGGAAAGGACACTCACTTCCTTGAAATGAACAAACAATCAGCTTGGTAAGAAGGGTTACACTCTGTACTTTAGGAGTTACTAATGTAACCATTTTCTAGCCTTCTGGTTTAAAACTAAATTTTAAGTAAAAAACAGAATTATCAGTGTTACTATTATTAGACTTATCTGCTCATTTTTAAAATTACTGCTATGTTTCAAGCGCTAATGCACTCTAATGCTTAAAGCTACTAATACAATATAATGGTCTACTATTACAAGCTATTTATGGTATTACGGTTGAGTCGTGACTGGATAGCAAAAATTTGTTAACGCTTTACGATTGTTTTTTATTTCATGAACTAGATGCATATTTTACATTTCTGTATAATTGCATTTATTCAAATTATGAATTTTTCTATGTTCTTTTACTTTTATTTCACTCAACAGCCTGGTTGTGGATCTCATCTGTCGCAGCTGCTACTCGTTGCTTGGCATGGTCTACACATCTACGCCCCGGAACCTGGACCACAAGAGGTCCACTTTCTGTCTCAGCGTAGCCAGCATCGACAGGTGCTTTCATTTCTAGTTCACCGTTACTGTCTGAAATGTATTTTCCTTTTTCTTTAATGTTCTCTATTTACAAATAAATGAAGCAAGAAGATTTCTGTATATCTCTCAAGATAATAATTTATAAAGGATCAACACTAAAGTGAACACTTGAATTATTGAGTAAAAGAAAAGTCAGTGAGTACTCGTAATTGCTCTAATCAAAAATTGTAGTTACTAATAATCAAACTGCGATCTACTTACTAACACAAATAAACACAATACACATAAGCAAATCTAACGACTAACAATGATGGAAAACACAAATGCTCCACTCCAGCTACTATTGGTTAAGAGGGAAACTTTTATGAAATGAATAATGTTTACAATATGATTAAAATACACATGCTGTAATTGATTTTCATGTTGGCTTGTTTTTCAAAGATTGCATAACAGTAAAGGCCATTAAGTCATTTATATTCAAAGCTAACAGAAAATTGTGGATTACTATTTAAACATTATTAAACAATCAACTTTGAGGTCTCTGAATAGAAAATAAAAAAAAAAAAAACATCAAAAAAAGATATTTTTACATGATTTATTTTCTGTGAATTAATGCTCTTAAACTAAAGGTTGCATTTTATTTTTCGGTGGGAAATTATGCTACTTCAACTATTTTTGCATCTTTTCTAGTGTTGCCACAAATTGTAAAAATTGATTGTAAGATGAGGCCATATTGAGCCCAAAGACAATAACCGCTTACTCTTGCTTTTCAATTTTGACTGATGAGCACAAACACTTTTTTGAATTATTACCAGATTTTAATTATGTTCAATCATATTCTTGCTAGTTTATGCTAATAAATTACGCTGTGGTGTTTGATATTTTCTCTAAGATGTTTTTTTTTTTTTTACCCGCAGCCCTGTTTTCAGTGACCTCAAATGTGTGGCGTTACTCACTTCTAATATATTCATATTAGTTGTGCAGCATTAGACTAGGAATCCTCACATTAACGCTCTGTTTATATTTGAAACAATAAAACCAGTTTTGTAGAATAGTTCATTGTTATTGATCATATGTCAATTTTACGTTGTATTGCAGCCATGTGAGTGATGTTATGTATCCAGATAATTTCACACCCTGTGTGTTTTTCAGCTATGTGCTCGGCTCTGGAGGCCAGATGTTGGCAGCAGAGGGCCCCAAAGAGCAGCTGGTTACACTGGAGTACAGGCACAATGTTGAACAACAGTTGGCAGAGGTAATTTATTGCGTCTGCTGCTCTTTGTCTGCCTTCCTTCACGTAGTTCTATCAGGATGTAAAAATTGTGAAATTAGCACTCTGTCTTCCCTTAAAGCTTGTTGTCAAGATTAACATCTATACATCTGTATTAGATTGCGTTGTTATTTGTCTTAAAATTATTGTGCTGTCTGATAAATAAAAAATAAATATCTATCTGATATTGAAGTGGAAAATAGAAATCTGAGCAGCAGGTTAAAGCAGTTTTGGCTGGAGTCGTCCAGTGTGGAGTTGTATTCTTCTCCTGATGAGGCTTTCTAAATGCACAGGTTGTACTACAGCATAAGGATGACATCAGCTTTGTTCCGGTAAACCCATTCCCCCATAGTGGGCAGACTCCGATATCAGACATTACCTCATCTGCCGACCCGTGTCACCTTCCAAAAAACACTTTCATATTTTAACCTCCCAAGTTATTTTCTTCGCTCAAAGGAGCAAAGTTCTGCATCTTTTCTTCATTTTAACATCCAAAATCACTGCTGTTTAAAGTTGTCTGTTTATTGTAGCTCTAATGATCTTCTATGTTTTATTGTCATGCTTGCATTTTATTTTCTTCCACATGTTCTTTGATTGTGTGTTTGTTTTCTGAATTCATCCAAATCACCCTTTGTTTAGGAAATTTCCTCCTAAAAAAACAGCAGAAACATTAATTGTCCAGTAGGTGGTGGTAGTGTGCAGGAGTACCTGCTAGCCCTCCCACACTCCAGCACTTTGGGCACAATAGCTGGAGAGCGTGTTGAGGAATCTTTGTTGAAGGGACACAGTTTTTTATGATGAAGTGTCTTTGTTGCTTCAACTTAATGAATATCTGGAACATTATTGCGCTTATCTCACCCCTTTGAACATCCCACACTTGGCAGTCGGCTCATTGTACAGTGAGATTTTATCTTTTATGCACGTGAATTGGAAACAGGTCACACTGCCCTGAAGACGAATGCATTTGTTGGATCAACAGATGCGTCTTTATGTGCACACAGAGACTGTAATTAAACACCATGCCAACTTTCTGTCGTTTACTTGAGCAGTTCTCACTTTTAATTAGATTTTGTTTTTTGCCAAAACAAGAACATTGAACATTGCAAAGTTAATGTCACACAATGACATCTTTGCCATTCAGACAAAGGGTGCATTTAGTACACCGTAATGAAATATGAGAGGTGGAAATTTAGATTAAATCTACAATTGAGCCTGTTGTTGACATGTTTATCTATATAGGCTGTTGATTAGATTTTTTTTATTATTAATTGTTGATGCATTAAAATATATGCTGGAATAAGTCTTGCATCAAGAATGTGTGGCATTATTTGAAATCTACAAATATAATCAAAACGTTAGGAAGTTTTTACTTTTTACAATCATGGGGAGACAATCAAAAATTAATACAGGAAAATGATGAGTTTAGATTTTTCAGTGCAACTTTGATTAAATACTTGGGTATGTTGTAAGTACTGTGTTTATTTCACCTTCTTTTAATCTGCCAAATGATCTGTCAGTCCTTCACTCAAGTACAATTTAAGATTTTTTAAAATAAAATTAAAACTTTAAAGGGGCACTTGTTAGCTTTTTTTTTTTTTAAAGCTACACAAGAGTTTGAAAATGATTTCTATTTTTATAGTGCCAGTTCATAATGCATGTCTTCTCAGTGAGAAATGGGCCTAATTCATACCCAGGTACATGAAGACCAATTTGGTCCAAATCAAAAT